AAAAAAAAAAAAAAAAAAAAAGAAAAAAAAAAGGTGTTAACATAGTTTTGGAATCAGACGTCTTTGAATTACTTGATTATAAACAAATTTTTGATTGATTTGTTAAGAAAACACAAAAAGCTACTATGATATGTTTTTTGACCAAAATATGCTTTAATCATGTTTACTTGTAAAAGTGGATACAGTCCAAACATTGAAAAAGCTCCAAGAATAATTGCTGTTGTCCATCCATAGTAATGAAACTGTGGAGACCTAATTGTAGATGGTTTGTAATTGGAAAGATGATAACCAAGCAATAGGCCTATAACGTAGGGGCCAATTCGATACTGTGGCTTGATATAAAATTCAGAGAATTGCTGTAACTGATATATGTTATTCAAAAATATTTCTTTTTTTTTTGTTGCATGAAACAGTATTATAAAAAAAAAAGAAAAAAAAAAGAGACTATCCAATAACTTATGATAATTTATACTAATGTATCAACTCGGTTTATATTATGCATTTTAGTGATAATACATTATGTAAACAAAAAAAAAAGCAAAACAAAATAAAGTAGATAATTCATTTTACAGATTGTATTTAAAATGATGAAAGAAAAAGCCTTTTTTTTAGCTGGTACTTGCCTGTTCTAAACTTGACTTATACATTGTTGATTTACTCCAACGAAGAAGAGTAGGAGGAAAATCGTATGTTAACATCGCATAAACAATGAGTAATGATGATGAAATGATAGTTATTGCAGATAATAAAAATCCATAGGTTTTTGATTTTTGTAAAGTTAGCAGAAATATTGGCGATAAAATATAGAAGATAAATTCTGTACTAACGTACCTGAAAAAAAAAAAGAACCAAAAAAAGAAAATCTTTTAATGTTTTATTGAAAAAAAAAAGAAAGAGGTATAATAATATGGACGTTTTATTATAATTATTCAATATTTACCTTCTGATGATGGCAATTAAAAACTCTATCAAATCTAAATTTATTTTACTTTATTTTTTATATTTTAATAGAACAAACAGCAATCAGTATTATTTTTTTTTTTCATCTATTATATGCATTAAAAAAAATAAATAGATAACTGCTTATCGTCAGCTGCATTTCAAATATACAAGTGCCTACTTTGTCTTTAATTGATACCCTAAATTTTTTCATCTTTTTTTTTTTTTCTCTCTTCTTCAAACTAATCTTTTTTTTTTTTAATAGCAACTATTCAAGCAGCAATTATATTTCTTGGTTTATCCTTAACAGTCATCAATAATGAAAATTCACCATGTTTGCGGAGCGCAAGTAGCACCAGAAAAGCTCTGTATAAAAATTGCATTATGCCACCAGTATCGGAAGCATTGCTCTGTTGGTTCTTCGTCTGGTAAAATATGATGAAAATGCAGGGATTTTATATGCAAAACAGCAATACTTGCATAGATATATGCTGGCCAAAGTCGTATTGCTCGTCGTAGGTAAAATCGTAACCAGTAACCAAATGATGACCAACTTGGTTTTGTTTCTGTGATTTGAACAAACATTAATTCATTTAAATGTAC